GCGGTCTGTAAGCTCCTGGCCCAGAGGGGACGGTGGTCCAGGGAGCCCTCCCTTTGCTGGTCCTGCCTATTCTAAAGCCCTGGCCCGGTTCCTTCCCGAAAAGGCCCTTGGTGCGGGTGCCACTGCCACTGCCACTGCCACCAGTTTGCACCTCTAACCCCTGTGCTGCTCCTCCCACCCCAAGGCAGGGCGGGGAAAGAAAGCAGTTTGGTCCCTCCCGGTCGGCTCCGAAGAAGTCCTCACCATCCTTCCTGTCTCCCGCTAGGCTATAAAGGAAGCAGAGCCCACTTCGGAGGGAGATTACCACCGGTCCACCCCCAGCTTAGCACAAAGTAGGCCAACCTGCAGCCCGGCTCCTCAGGTCTCCAACTGAAGTCTGGCCCGTCTGTGGTGGCCAAGGGGCCAGGCCTCATCCTGCAGGGGCCGCTCGGCTTCCGGGGTCCGGCCCGCACGGACTCAGCTCTGCCCAGGCCCGACCCTCCTGGGATTTGATCCCTATCCCGGCCCGGCCCTAGTGCCATCCCCCAGCCCCAGTCCCCGCCCCGATCCCCAGCCCCCAAGCCCCGCTCCAGCCCTAGTCCTAGCCCGGCCCTAGTGCGATTCACCAGCCCCAGCCCCAGCCCGGCCCGGCCCTAGTGCCATCGCCCAGCCCCCAAGCCCCGCTCCAGCCCTAGTCCTAGTCCGGCCCCGGTGCCATCCCCCCGCCTCCATCCTCCATCCTCCATCCCCTGGTCCTAGCCCAGCCCTAGTGCCATCTCCCAGCCCCAGCCTCCAGCCTCCAGCCTCCAGCCCCCGCCCCAGCCTCCAGCCCCCGCCCCAGCCCCCGCCCCTGCCTACCCTCCCTGCTAAGGCTCCGCTTCTGCCCGCAGCACTCGGCGAAGAGGCAGTAGAGACGCGGGTAGATGTAGCCGGTGAGGACGCCGGCCAGGGCCAGTCCCAGGCTGATGGGCTCCACCGCCTGCACCACGGACGGCGCCAGCAGCAGCAGGCCCAACGCGGCCCGGCCCAGCTTCATGCCCGGACCCGCGCCACCCTGCGCGTTCTCGCGCCGACCGCGAACCAGTACCGCCGCCAGACCCGCGCTTCCGGTTCCTCCTCGCGCGGAGGCCATCTTTCTTCAGGGCAGCCCTCCTCCCGACGCCGGCGGCCGCCATCTTTGTTCGGTACAAAGCCCTGTTTTGCTTCCGGAAGGTCGGATCTGCACCGCCCCCGTCGGCCACGTGTTTTTGTTTGTTTATTTTAAAGTAATGGACGTTATTTTTGCCGGGCGTGGTGGCTCACGCCTGTAATCCCAGCCCTTTGGGAGGCTGAGGCGGGTGTATCACCTGAGGTCAGGAGTTCGAGACCAGCCTCACCAACATGGTGAAACCACGTCTTCTACTAAAAATATAAAATCAGCCAGGTGTGGTGGTAGGCACCTAGCTACTGGGGAGGCTGACGCATGAGAATCGCTTGAACCCAGGAGGCCCAGGTTGCAGTGAGCTGAGATCCCACCACTATACTCCAGCCTGGGCAACAGAGCAAGACTATGTCCCTCCCCCCAAAAAATAATAATGGACGCTAATTTTTAGAACAGATTTACAGAAAAAATTGTAAGAGTACAGAGTTCCCATGTGCCACACCTCCCTGCAATTACCCGTTACTAAATTCTTACATTATTAGTGTATTACATTTGTTAAAATTAACGAAGCACTGTTGTTATATTAACTAAAGTGTACAGTTTATTCGGATTTCCTTCCTTTTACTTATGCCTTTTTCTGCTCCAGGTTTCCATTCAGGATACATTAATTTGTTATGTCTTAGACTCCTGTTAGTGACAGTGTCTCGGCCTTTTATTTTTATTTTTATTTTAGCTGGAGTGCAGTGGTGTGATCTCAGCTCACTGCAACCTCCGCCTCCCAGGTTCAAGTGATTCTCCTGTCTCAGCCTCCCGAGCAGCTGGGATTACAGGCATACACCACCATACCTGGCTAATTTTTGTATTTTTGGTAAAGACGGGGTTTCACCATGTTGGCCAGGATGGTCTTGATCTCCTGACCTTGTGATTCACCCACCTCAGCCTCCCAAAGTGCTGGGATTACAGGTGTGGGCCACCATGCCTGGCCTCAGCCTTTTATTTTTGATGACCTTGATAGTTTTGAGGAGTACTGCCACAATCTTTGGTAGGCTGGCCCTCTACTGGAATTTGATGTTTTTCTCAGGATTAGACTAGCGCTATGGGGTTTTGGAAGGAAGATCACAGAGGTAAAGTGCTATGCTCATCACATTCTACCAAGGAAGGGTTCTTACTGTCAACATTACCTATCACTGTTGGTGCTGACTTGATCACTTGACTGAGGTAGTATCAAGTCTCCGCACTGTACACTTATTCTTCTCCCCACCCCTCTTTTCTCTACTGTACTCTTTGGAAGGAGGTCCCCATGCACAGCCCACACATTAAGGAGTTAGGGATTTTGCTCCACCTCCTTGGGAGCAGAGTATCTGCAGAGATTATCTGGAATTCTGCATGGGAGATTTGTTTTTTCTCCCCCATGTATTCAATCATTTATATCAGTATGGACCATTGTTATTTTATCCTTTGTGTTATAATACAGTACTAATTTTTTTTTTTCTCAAATTGTTCTCATTTTGGCCACGGGGAATTTAAGTGGTTCTTTGTGTTCCTTTGACCTACACCCAGTGTATACCAGTTTATTTGGGTTTGAGTGCTTCTTTCCTTTCTGCCACTACAGGATGCTCCAGGCTCATCTTGTATATTTCCTGCCCCCGTCCCAGAATCCTATTTCTACGAGGAACCCTGATTCCTTTCATTGTAGAATGGCATTACAAACTGGCTGGGCATGGTGGCTCGTGCCTGTAATCCAGCACTTTGGGAGGCTGAGGCAGGTGGATCACCTGAGATCAAGAGTTTGGGATCAGCCTGACCAATATGGTGAAACCCCATCTCTACTGAAAATACAAAATAATTAGCTGGGCATGGTGGCATGTGCCTATAGTCCCAGTTATGCAGGAGGCTGAAACAGAATTCCTTGAACTCAGGAGGTGGAGGTTACAGTGAGCCGAGATCATGCCACTGCACTCCAGCCTGGGTGACAGCGAGACTCCATCTCAAAAAAAAAAAAAAAAAAAAAAAAAAAGAAAGAAACCAAGCTCTGGGTGCTAGGTGTGCTTCTTGCTGAGATGTCATTTCTTTCAGGCAGTCTCAGCTGACAGAACAAAAAAATGTGTGTATATACTATTAAACACACACACATATCTATAAATATTTCTAGGTAAACATCTGTACTTATATTAAGCTAAACATGAGCTCATGCTGACATCTCCAACTCTAATCCATTACACGGATCATTGGAGCCTCCTCCCCTTGCTTATCTGTGAATTCCCACCCCAACAGTGAGAGACCTGGCTCCCTCCATCTGGTGGCCACTTTTAAGCTGGGTAAAAGATTACTCATTTTCCAGCAAAGGGAACTCTGGCAAGTGAGAACTGTTGATCATCCACTTATTTGCCTGTTCATCCCATAAACACGTGTTGCGTTGCTGTGTGCCAGATGTGCTAGGCCTTTAGTATTCATCTTGGGTTACGCCTGTACATCGTTGGGACCTGTTAAATGCTAGTTGAAATATCCTGAAAATATTTTTTAAGGTTCAACTTTTCATATTGGATTTCAAATAATACTTTTGTGCATTTGTTACAAGCCAGACACTATAGGGATCATTCACAGTTTTGAGGGCTGCCTATGTGTCAGATTGTGGGCTATGCCCTGGGGTTTCAAATTTAAAAATTAGGCATACATGGTTCCTGCCTTCACTGACCACATTCAAGTGGAGGAGGACAAAAAAGTCTCCACTTTACAGATGAGAAAACTGAGGCTAAGAGTGAAAAGGATCTGTCCAAGGATACAATTAGTAAGCTGTGAGCTGGGCTCAGATGTGACTCCTGGGCCAAACCACCATAACCACAATACTTGCTCTAACTCCGCCCGTAAGTCAGCCAATCTGCTCTTTCCTCTTCCGGACCATGTGGATGCCTCAGGAAAAATGAGGGCACAGGTAAGAAGGTACTTGACAGTTAGCAGGTTGCAGCACGTCTATGACATTTGAAATAAATGAGAAAATCCATCTCAGTAATTCAATTTTACATTTAAGCTACCCAAACCATGGGCTTTAAAACATTACCTGATGTTGGTATAAGGAAACATAATACAAACAATATGGTTAGATTCATTTTGAAATTTAATAATTCAATTCTAATAGTAATAAGAAACATAGTTTATGCTTTTTTTTAAATGAAAACAAACAAGTAATTTTGTAAAAGTCAGAAAACACCAGTATCCTTCTGATCTCATCCTAGATTTTTCTGTCAGTTGGACCCACTCTAATCAATGGAGGATGCATGTCTGACCCCATCCCAGATACGTGAAAGCAGAAGACACGATGCATCTATAATAATGAAAGCACAATCTAAAGGGTATTATCACACCGTGAACAGTTTCTTCCTGACCCAGAGCAAATATTAAAAGACAATATATTTACAAACAAGATTTAATAATGCTCACAAGAATAGAGTTTGCCCCCAAATGGAAAATTACACATTGTTTTGTTTCAAAAAGTTATAAATTTAGTGCCTGAAAAATCCAGCAGGTAAGCAGAAGGACCAATAGGGTCTGTTTCTGGAACTGTTCGCTAGCAAATGAGCATGCTCTGTCCAGGAAGCCCTTTTTCTTTTCTTTTTTTTTGAGACAGTTTTGCTCTTGTTGCCCAGGCTAGAGTGCAATGGTGCAATCTCGGCTCACCGCAACCTCTGCCTCTCGGGTTCAAGTGATTCTTCTGCCTCAGCTTCCCGAGTAGCTGGGATTACAGGCATGTGCCACCATGCCCGGCTAACTTTTTTGTGTTTTTAGTAGAGACAGGGTTTCTCCATGTTTGTCAGGCTGGTCTCAAACTCCCGACCTCAGGTGATCCGCCCACCTCTGCCTCCCAAAGTGCTGGGATTACAGGCCTGAGCCACCATGCCCGGCCAGGAAGCCATGTTTCACGGGAGGGATATAGGGAGAGGAAGGCGCTATTTACATCCCACTCTGCACAGCTCAGTACCGCCTATTCATTTTCTTGAACTTCTCATAATGATAGTCATCAGTTGCCTTCTCGTTAGCAGGACGCTTGCGGTTAGGAGGGGACCCTGAGAAGGAAAAGAACAGGAAAGGTGGCTTGCCATGCTGGAACCCACTGCTAGACTTTACTCCAGGTAGGCAAAGACAACTGCCTGTTTCCTTCCCCACAGGAGCCCCAGCGCCTAACCCAGTGAACATAGTAGGGCCTCCGTAGACACTTATTTGTCTTTTTCTTCTTATTTTGAGATGGAGTCTCACCCTGTTGCCCAGGCTAGAGTGTAATGGCATGATCTAAGCTCACTGCAACCTCCAACTCCCGGGTTCAAGCGATTCTCTTGCCTCAGCCTCCTGAGTAGCTGGGATTACAGGCACCTGCCACGATGCCTGGCTAATTTTTGTATTTTTAGTAGAGACGGGGTTTCACCATGTTAGCCAGGCTGGTCTTGAACTCCTGACCTTAGGTGATCTGCCTGCCTTAGCTCCCAAAGTGCTGGGATTATAGGCGTAGGCCACCGAGCCTGGCCAATACCTTTTTCTTTTCTTTAAAAAAAAAAGATGTGGTCTCACTCTGTCACACAGGCTAGAGTGTAGTCGTCCAATCATAGCTCACTGCAGCCTTGAACTCTCAGTCTCAAGCGATCCTCCTGCCCCAGCTTCCCCAGCAGCTGAGACTACAAGTGTGAGGCACTGCACTCAGCTAACCTTATGAGTAGCTTTTATTTGTCCTTACTGAAATTTTCTGACTTCTTGAGTCTCTACTGTGCTTGAGAATATGAGATTGTATGCTTGATACTGAATTCTCAGAGCAATCCTAACACAGGTAGGTTCTATTAGGATTCCCATGAGGAAACTGAGGCTTAGAAAGGGGAAGGCACATAGTCATGGTCCAGAGCATGGACTGGAACCCAGATGCCCCAGCTTCAGTGCCAACCTCCACACTGTCCCCCGCTGCACCCTGCCTCCATGGGCCCCCACAGAGCTGAGCACTCCAGGCAGCCCCGGGGCCTTTGTTGCACTCACGCTCAGGCTCTGGCTTCTCCGTGTCGCCTACTCTCAAGGGCCGGGCCTTGGGCTCTTCTTTGTTTCTCCGGATGGGTGCGTTGAGCTCTTCATGATAAACTGGACCCAAAGAGACCAGGGGACACATTAGACGGAACATGAGGTTCCTAGGGACCTCAGCCCAAATAAGGGAAAGGGGACAAGACCGCTCTCCCTGAGGGGCTTACATCTGTTGTGCTGCACGTAATTCACGGCCATGTTGGTAGGCACGAAGGAGGTCTCGCTGTCTTTCTTCTTGTTCTGCTGCTCTGCCAGCAGACGGGCCTTGGCATCCTCCGTGGAAATTATATTTTTAATTTTAGCACTATGGAGAGAAAGAAACCATACCACTTAGAAGATGGTAGCACCTTACTACTCAGATGTGAGTGGTGAGGCTGGCAGCCCAGCAGGACATAAGAAAATCATGTGTCCTGGGACACAGCTCTCCAGTTTACCAATCACACTTGTAGTCACATTCTCACGGAACTCTCACGGCCGTCAGAGAACCACAGTTACTCTGCTCTTCTGATCAAGAGCAAATTGAGCTTCAGAGAAGTAAAATGCTTAAGGCTCAAAGTTTGCAAGGCCGGAAAAGAGCCTAGAAGCTTCCCAACTTTCTACTGTACCAAAAGATTATTCTGACAATTGCACTTCTTTCATGACAATTCCCTTTTAAAGTGGATATTTTGTTTTAAGAAGGATCATAGGGAGAAGGGGTGGGTGAGCCTTTAACATGGCCCCTGCTAGAAGAAAACAGAAGAATAAAGGGCCTGATACAGCTGTCAACAGAGGCTAAAGAACCACTTTTGCTTTCAGCAGCCAGGGGCCCTTACTACTCTGGCCAAGCCTTCAGCAAAACTTCTAGCAACAACCTGCCAGAGACAATCTCGTTTGTATTTGTAGGATTCTAAGAACACAGATAAGAACATGGGGTCTCACTACACTGCCCAGGCTGGTCTCGAACTCTTGGGCTCAAGTGATCCTTCCACCTTTGCCTCCCAAAGAGCTAGGATAACAGGCACAAATCACCATGTCTAGCCTTTTTTTAAAAAAAAAAAAAAAAAAAAAAAAAAGACAGGGTCTTACTCTGTCACCCAGGCTGGTGTGCAGTGGTGCAATCATGGCTCACTGTAGCCTCAACTCTGAGCTCAAGTGAGAGCCCAGCTAATTTTTTAAATTTTTTGTAGAGACAGGAGTCTATGTTTCTCAGGCTGGTCTCCTGGCCTCATGTGATCCTCCTGCCTTGGCCTCCCAAGTACTGGGATTATAGGCGTAAGCCACCACACCTGTCTCTCATAAATTTTTTTTTCTTTTGAAATAGAGTCTCATTCTGTCGCCAGACTGGAGTGCAGTGGCATGATCTTGGCTCACCGCAACCTCCACCTCCCGGGTTCAAGCCATTTCCTGCCTCAGTCTCCCAAATAGCTGGGATTACAGGTGCCTGCCACCATGCCCGGCTAATTTTTGTATTTTTAGTAGAGACGGGGTTCCACCATCTTGGCCAGGCTGGTCTTGAACTCCTGACCTTGTGATCCACCCACCTCAGCCTCCCAAAGTGCTGGGATTACAGACATGAGCCACCGTGCCTGGCCTGTCCCCCATAACTTTTAACTGGAAAGCACTGTGTCTTCTGCCTATGGGTCTCAAACATACTCGATGCCCAGGTCCACCTCAGGAATGCCACTCAGCATCTGGTTGGAAAGCATTTCCTCGGTCTTCTTTGCTGAGGAAACACGGATGTTTTCGGGAAGTTCATAAAGACAATCCTCTGCATTCTTTGGCTTAACTTTCTGTTCCTCATGTTCCACGATCCCTTTCCTCTTCTTTAGCTCTGTCTCAATGTACTTCATCCTGAAGTGAGAAACCCACAGGCCTCAGGGAGGGGCAGGAAACATACCAGGTATCCTCTAAATTAGCGGTCCCCAACACTGGCCCACAGACCAGTGACGGTCCATGGAGAAACAAGAAAAATACAAAATAACTTGAGTTTTTTTCATCAAGTTAGAAATTTTCCACTTAAAGCAGCACCAACCTATGAGGTTATGTCCCACTAATCTATTGGTGTTACGATGTACAGGTTCTTTAAAGACAGAAAGATGATAGTTTGCCAATAGCTTTGCTGGCTAAATAAAAAGTGGGCAAGTCCATGTTTTATCCCTGCAATGTTTTGGGGAAATATTACTAGTCATGAAACCACCTTTGAAAAGAAGTTTTATTTTTTGTTTTTGGAGACGGAGTTTCACTCTTGTTGCCCAGGCTGGAGTGCGATGGCAAGATCTCGGCTTACTACAACCTCCACCTCCCGGGTTCAAGCAATTCTCTTGCCTCAGCCTCCTGAGTAGCTGGGATTACAGGTGCCCACCACCACACCTGGCTAATTTTGTATTTTCATTAGGGACAGGGTTTCTCCATGTTGGTCAGTCTGGTCTCGAACTCCCCACCTCAGGTGATCCGCCTGCCTCGGCCTCCCAAAGTGCTGGGATTATAGGCGAGAGCCACCGTGCCCAGCCTGAAAAGACCTTTTAAGAGGTTTTCAAAGTTCTTAAGCTGGGAGGTAGAAAGAGAGGGGCCAACTTTGACATCTAGAAAATTCTAGAAACGTCATCTATTGACTAAATATCTTGGACTCTGACTGGGGTCCAGCCCCAATTGCTCACAGCCAAACAGACTGACACTTACATGTCTGCATCCTCATCCCGTCTGTTGGTTTCTGCAGAAAACGATGTCCCCAGGTGCAGGTCCTCCTCTTCACTGATCCTGAAGGGAGAGAACAATGAGGCAGAGCTTTCAAGTCACAACTCAGTGAGGCTGAGTTTTATGTTCTAAGAAGAAAACAAAGACACAAGCATTTATAATATACTATTTACAGTTGGCAAAAAAAAAAATGCTATAGTATAATATGTAAATGAAAGAAACTCTAGAAATATATGCAAGCAAACTGTTGGCTGCTAGTGATACCTCCAAGGATTGAGTGGATACATTTATCCTTAGGTATCCATGGGCGATTGGTTCTAGTGCCCCTCAAGGATACCGAAATCTGCAGATAGTGAAGTCCCTTATATAAAATAGTGTAATATCTGCATCTAATCTACACACATACTACCAAGTCCCTTATATAAAATAGTGTAATATCTGCATCTAATCTAGGCACATACTACCATCTGCTTTAAATCATCTCTAGATTACTTTTAATACCTAATTCAATATAAATGCTATATAGTTGTCACAAAAGTACACAGTGTACTTTTATTTTTTAAACTTTTGAATTATTTGAATGTTTTATTTATTTATTGACATGGAGTCTCACTCTGTCGCCCAGGCTGGAGTACAGTGGCGTGATGTCAGCTCACTGCAACCTCTGCCTCCCGAGTTCAAGCAATTCTCCTGCCTCAGCCTCCTGAGTAGCTGGGATTACGGGCGCCCACCACAACGCCAGGCTAACTTTTGTATTTTTAAAAGAGACAGTGTTTCACCATATCGGTCAGGCTGGTCTCGAACTCCTGACCTCAGGTAATCTGCCTGCCTCAGCCTCCCGAAGTACTGGCATTACAGGCATGAATCACCACAGCTGGCCGGAATGTATTATTTTTGTTAATTGTTTTTATATGAAACTTCCCCCATGGGTTCACTTATTTTATTTTTTTGAGACAGGGTCTTTCTCTGTCACCCAGGCTGGAGTGCAGTGGTGTGATCACAGCTCACTCTAGCCTCAATCTCCCTGACTCAAGCAATTCTCCTACTTTAATTTCCTGAGTAACTGGGACTACGGGCACATGCCACCACACCCAGAGATATATACACACACACACACATATATACATGTACACATGTACGTGTGTGTACATATATATGTACATGTATTTCTTTTTTTTTTGTAGAGACAGGGGTCTCACTATGTTGCCCAGGCTGGTCTTAAACTCCTGGACTCAAGCTAGCCTCAGCCTCCCAAAGTGTTGGGATTATAGGCATCAGACATCATGCCTACAACACACTTTTACAAAAGGAGTCTACCAGCTTGGCTCTAAGTTAACTTTTAAAGACTTTCTGCTTTCTTTGTTTTTAAATAACATACCCTTTGCAAAGCACAAAACCTGCTTCAAGATGTCCCACTAATGCTGCTGCTACAGGCCTCAGCTCTCTGAGGGAACCTAGACCCAGGCAGTGGCTAAAGGTGAATTTGCTTATAAGCCTGTCCTGCACTTACTTATCTTTGCCCCTTTCCTTCAGTTTCTTCATATCCACCATACCACCTGTCTTCATCTGAAAGGGATCATCCTGCGGAAAGCAAACACAGTGAAGAGGAAGCATCTAAATAAATGGTAGTGGAATTTGTTTTCTGTAAAGCACATTCACTCACTGAAGAGCACTGCAGGGAGGGTTGCCATCGCTACCCAGGGAAGACCCCATAACTTACCACTAGAGTTGTCTCCTCTTGTACCTTCTCTCCCACCAGCAGGGCCACAGCACTGAGCAAAACCAAAAACAGGAGAGGGAGAGAGAGAAATGGCATAATTCAGAGATGAGGAGGAACCCTCTCAGGTATGTGGATTGCAACATTAGTGCAAGGGTGGGATTTGAGGGGTGGGCAGGCAAGCCGGCTGGAAAAGCCTATAAGCATAAAACAGGGCTTAACAAGCACCGTACATGCTGGAAGAAGGGTGGGCTGGTGGTGAAGTGGTACGCTTTCCCACTCTCCTGTAAAGCCATTTGGCATTCTCTTGGCCCGGAAATCTCATTTCTAAGATACTCTCATCATGGAAAATGCAGCTAAAGATAAATTTTTTTTTTTTTTAATTGAGACGGAGTCTCGCTCTGTTGCCTAGGCTGGAGTGCAGTGGCGCGATCTCTGCTCACTTTGCAAGCTCCACCTCCCGGGTTCACGCCACTCTCCTGCCTCAGCCTCCCGAGCAGCTGGGACTACAGGCGCCCGCCACCACGCCCAGCTAATTTTTTGTATTTTTAGTAGAGGCGGGGTTTCACCTTGTTAGCCAGGATGGTCTCAATCTCCTGACCTTGTGATCCGCCCGCCTCAGCCTCCCAAAGTGCTGGGATTACAGGCGTGAGCCACCGTGCCAAGATAAATTTAAAAGAATATCCACTGCAACCTTATTTGATAGGAAAAATTTACAAAATCACCTACGTGTCCCAAAATAGGGGATTTGTTAACAAATTACGATACACACATCTGGTGGAATATTATGCAGCCATTAAGAAGGTTTTCTGAAAAATACTCCACAATATGGGTGAATGCCCACAATGTCATAATGAGTTGAAAAGAACAGGGAATAAAAGTATATTGAAAGTTGTTCACAATCTGAGAAAGAGAGAGAGAGAAAAATAACAGATTGGAAAGAGTATTAAATATTAATACCAGGGCATTCTCGGGTGGCTTTGCAAGAAAAAAAAATGTTAACACTGGTCACTTCCGGAATGGAGAATTGTGGGTGCTTTTTATTGTCTTGACTATACTTTTCGAAATTATACAAACTCTTAACGATCGATATGCATTTCACAATTAACTGGTTTTAAGAAAAAACGCGAGTTAGTGACCTGTTTCTGGATCTCTGGAGCACACCCCAAGACGGCACAGCTGAGGGCATGTCCTGGTTAAACATTTGCAAAGAACGCTGTTCTCCAATTTGGGCAGTGGAAAGTGTATAGTGTCTCAAGAGAAGAATCTACGTCTGAGGAGATATTTGCGACAGCGACCCGGACGCGGATGTGTCTGTCGTCCCCGCCTCCTCCTCCCGCCGTGGTACCCACCTCACCCCGTTGGGCCTCTTCCTCAAGTTCTGTACCTCTCTGGTCTCTTCCAGTTTTAATCTTTAAAAAAAAAGAAGAAGAAGAAGGAGCAATGCATAGGCTGAGTGACTCCCCGCGGAATCCAAAGCTAACAGAGCCAACAAGGCGCCTTCGATGGCATCCCAGCCCCGCTGCTGAGCCACCAGCACAGTGGTCCAGAGGACGACCTTGTGCCTAGACCCACCGGGAGTCAGAGCCACTGCGCATCCCGGAGGCATCTCTCCCAATTGTGCGGGCTTGGGACCGCGGCCTCACCACTTGAGCCTCAATTTCTCCGTCCGCAGAAGGAACCACCATCCGGGCTGTTAACAATGTCAGCGAAGCGCCCAGCCGGTGGTGAGTCCCCCAAGCAAGTCTATCTCCTACCAGGCCCATGGGAGCCCCGCCCCAAACGCACCGAACCTCCTCTGAGTCCTGCTCATCTTCCTCTGACTCCGAGTCGCCTCGGCGGCGGCGGAAAATCTTCCGGACGACCGGCATGTTTACAATCGCCCAACCGTCCAGCCGCCGCGCCTCTGCGCAGCGGCCCAGGCTGCTTCCGGCGCGCCACAGAGCGGTCAGAGCGCCTGACCCGTCTGGCCCCGCCCCCGGCACGCACCGCCCGCGTGGCCACGGCCCCTTCCCTGGCGTCAGCCTCTTCCGATTGGACGGCGGAGGGAAGGAGGTGGGGCGTCGCCAGACCACCCCACAACCCTGCGCGGCGCAGCGGAGGGGGCGCGCTTGACTGACAGGCGGCTGTGGCGCGGTTGCGAGCGCAGGTGAGTTCCGGGCCGCCACCGGCCGCATCTGTGGGCCGGGCCTCTCAGAGCATTGGCGACCCCAGCCCGGCTCCGGGCTGACAGGGCCTGGCCTCGCCAGGTACGCCAGACGCTGCGGCCAGGTGAGCGGAGCCCGGGACCCCCGCCCGCCGCCGCCCCTCTCCCCTCCTCCGGTCGGCGCCCAGGGGGTCCTCTGGGCCCCAGCACCCCACTCTGAGCCCACTGGAGGCTCGTGGCTTTTCCAGAACCAGGGCCGCCCCCCTCTTATTTCTGCCGGGGCCTGACCTAGCGTTGAAAGCATCCGCGTGGCGTCTCGCGTCTCGGGCGCTGACTTTTCTTTCCTCGGGCTCTGAGCCCTGACGTGCGTTTTTTTCTTTAGGAACAAAAGATGACCACTTCGCTGCGGTGCTGAATTAGAGTCCCAGCGCCGACCGCCTCGCGAATAATGGCCCCCAGCTTCTCCGCGAGGAGAGGCGCGTCTGATGTTTTGAAGCCACGCAGGAGGGTTTGAGCCAGGGGGCTCCTCCTCGGTGCTGGCTGGCCATCCCCCTGGACTTTCACGGGCCTGGTTTTCCTCCTTTCCTCCTTTGGTCAGGTGGTCTGTCGCTCTACCCTCTGCCCCTTCCCCCCCGAAGATACTGTGAGGATAAAGTTTATTTGAAAAACGGGTATCAGCAAACGCTTAGGAAATACCTAAATGCATAAATAATGGCGTCTAGGACTTTTAAGAACCCCTTAAGTAACAATAGTTTTCCTTTTCTCAGCGTCATCCCTTACTTTGAGAACTACCTCTTACTAAGCAGTTACCATGTGGCAGGCCCTGGGCAAAGCATAATCTTATTGAATTCTCCCAGCAATCCTTTGAGGTAGATTGGTTTTCGTTTTACAAATGAGAATGTGGAGTCTCCAAGGGGCAGTGCGCACCTCAAGTTACACAGCTAGGAGGTGGAACAGGAATTGGTTGCAGGTCAGTCTCTGCAGCACGGTTTGCACAGGGCTTGGCACAGTACGAGTGCAGTGGATGTTTGCTGCTGCTGCTGCAGCTGCTGTTACATCTCATTGGCTGGGGGGAAGGGCTGATGGGGACTGTTTGGGGTTCCCTCTTCTGGAAGACCATTCCAAAGCAGGGCAGCGTTTCTGGAATGCCTTACGTTTTCTCTGGAACAGTCTCCGCTGAGATTGTTCTTCTCTTCCTTGGGCTGGAAAAAAAATAGTAGACTCAGGACTTCTTGCACCAGCCTTTTATCTTTGGTCAAAATCCACATATTAAAGTCTCAAAGTCTTGCCCTCTGCAGACTGGTTCAGCCAAACCCAGATGCACCTGCACTCACTGGATGCGGAGTCCCTGTCAGATGATGGAGAGGCTTCTTGGGAATTGCTGCAGGAGTCCGGGGCTCAACGTCGGCAGCTCTCATGCTCTCAGAGGTGGCTCTGAATCTGCCCATCAAGCAGTCCATCCGCCAGGGGTGGGTGCTGGACACTACTAAGGAAAGGGCAAGAAGGCCAGGGGCATTTCTGGATCCTCCTCCTCAACTGAAGTCCCAGGGTACAGATGAGCTGCCCCCACCCTTGCTCCGTGAGGCCAGAGGACCCAGTGATACCCACCACCTGTGCTGTGGCAGATCTAATTGAGTGCTGTTTAGCAAAAGGAATGCTGAAAAAGTGGCAGCTGTGAATCTGGCAGTAAGTGGCTTTGCAAAGAGACTGCAGCCCAAGTCTCACTGGGCCCTTTTAAGGGTAGGATGAGACTGCCTCTCAAAAGGACCCTCCCGGAAATACAGGTTCTATGCAGTTCAAAGATGAGTCCAAGGTCTTAGTCTTGTTTGGGAGTTCAGTTGTTTAAGAAAATGTAGATTCATCCTAGGTTTAGGTTGGTTTCCTAGCTCCTTTCTGGAGCCAGATGAAATGTTGGCTTGTTTCAGGGTTCAGGGAGCATTCATATCCAGGTGGATTTGGGATCCAGCAACGTGATCCAGTTCACAGCCCAGCTATAGTCAGTATCCAATAAATGTATTTATTGGAGCAATGTATTCAACAGATACTAAGCATTTACTATATGAAGCAGGCACTGTTCTAAGTGCTTGAAATAAGTCAGTGAGCAAAAGAGACAAAAGATCCCTGATTAGTTGAGTGTATGTTCTGATAGTAACGTATGTAAAGTGTGTTAGAAGATGGTAAGTGCTGTGGAAAAGAAAAAAATAGAGCAAGGTAAGGGAAATCACCTCCGGGAGGGTGGCAGGGTTGAGTTGCAAATTAAAATTAGCACATTCTGGTTTGAATTTGGTTGGGAACATGACAGATAAAGCAGTGGATTGAATGATAGGCCTTGGGTTCCAGTTGCTGCCCGGTGGTTTGAGGGTCTGTAAGCTTGATCTTTATTTTATAAAGGCTTTTATTTAGAGGGTACACCCTGAACTCAAGTCCTGATTGTGGGATATTTAATAGTGATGAAAGAGCCAGGCTTTTCTTAGCTTTTCACCTTAGCAAGACAAACAGATATCCAACTGGTTCTCATTAGCATGAAGGAGGAAACTTGGAGAAACCATGCAAGTGGACAACAATTTTTTTTTTTTTTTTTGAGATGGAGTCTCGCTCGGTCACCCAGGCTGGTGTGCAGTGGTGCAATCTTGGGTCACTCCAACCTCCGCCTCCCAGGTTCAAGTGTTTCTTCTGCCTCAGCCTCCTGAGTAGCTGGGATTACAGGTCCCCACCACCACACCTGGCTAATTTTTGTATTTTTAGTAGAGACGGGGTTTCGCCATATTGGCCAGGCTGGTCTCGAATTCCTGACCTTGAGTGATCCACCCACCTCTGCCTCCCAAAGTGCTGGGATTACAGGTATGAGCCACTGTGTCCGGCCAACAACAAATATTTAAAGACAGGAAAGTGGCAGTGCTCTTTGGCTTCAGTGAGCAGTCAGGGCTCAATAAATAGAAATTTCAGGAGAGCCAATTTCCATTATTATAAAGACTTAGGTTTGAAGCAACTAGAGCTGCCCGCTGGCAAAAGGATGATTTTATCATCAATGACTGCTCAAACTGGGTTTGGAGAACAACCCAATAGGGTTTTTACAGAGCAGAGTTCTGCCTTAAGGGGAAGATGCATGGTTTATAAACCCCCCTAAACTCTGAGATTGCGTGGGGGAAGCCAGCTGCCTGAAAAGAGAGGATCTGATTTCAGGCCCCAGAAATCATGATTTTCCTAGTTCTTAGTTTCTGCATCTTTAATATGAGTTTTTTCTAAGGTTTCCAGTCTGAGCTTCAAGACTGAGTTTCAGCTCATGCTTACTCACCACCGAGTGTGAGGCTTTTAATGACCTGGGCCAGTGACTGGCTCCAGCCTAGGGTAGCCGCAAGCCCATGCCTTCTCCAATTAAGGGACTCTTCCGGACAGAGCTCAGAGCAAAGGGCGGTAGCAGGCTTTGGGCTGCAGGGAGATACTGTCATATCCTAGACTGAAGGAAGTTAAGCTGAGCAGAAAAATGCTCTGAAGAATGACTCAGAAGAGGCTCTTGTGAGGAAGCTTCCTTGGAGTGTGCGTGTTTAGATTTGGGGAGGTGAAGGTTGTCCCCATGCCAGGCTGGCCGGGGCTGTTTGTGACATCATGGAGCTGAGCGTTCAGAGCACAGGCCTCAGGGCAGGTAGTCGTGGGTTTGAGTTATGGCTCTGCAGCTCAGTAGCTGTGTGACTTCAGCCAGTTATTCCACCTCTCTGAGCCTCGTTGTCTCCATCGTTAGTGATGGAGATGGATTTAGTTTGGAACCTTGCCACCTCCCAGGGTGGTTGTGAGGGCCCAGTGAGGTCATATGTGAGAACACCAGACTAAGATGTTAGTGTCAGTTCCAGTATTCAGGGCCGTGGGGCAGTGGGCAGGGCAATGAGGAAACACAGAGGTGTGTGGGCAGCAGAGATCGTGGAGGTGCGGAGGCATGAGGAGGCCTGAGGGCTCTGCTTCCAGAGTCAGGATGGTGGCCTCCGAGTGAGGACTGGGTTAAGGGAAGGGGTGGGTGTGTCTGGGACTTAGGGAGAATGCTGTTGTGTGGAGGTGGAGTGAAGACAGCAGGAAGGAGAGAAAGGCTGTGTGCTGTGAGGGCCAGAGGGGAATGTGGAGGGGGTGGGCGCACACCCTATGCAGGGCTGGGGGTGTGAGATGACTAATGTGGTTGGGGTCAACGTGGGCAGGACTGTGGGCATCGTTGTGTGGGTGGAAGGACCAGAAGTGTCACCCTCCCCATCCTGAGGGACTGGTTCCTTGCTGGGAGGAGGAGGATGTAGCCAGGACCTCTGGGAAACCATGAGTAACAGGCACCAGAGGCAGCCAGGTCCAGATGTGCTGCCTGCCTGGGCCCACAGGCTGTGCTGGCTGGTCCCTCCCCTGCCCCTCTTCAGGCCTTGCCCCTCCACTTTGCGCCTGTGGGTGGAGTGGCAGTTTCCCCCTCCCTGGAGGCTCAGGGAAGGAAAGCTGCCTTTATGAGCCTGAAGCATCTTGTAGGTCTCCTGGGGCCAGCAATGGTGGGCTCTTTGCCAAAAGTCTCAGGCCTTCCTCTTCCCATCCTGTGCTCTCCTGCCCCAAAAGAGGAGGCTCTGGTGGGCCAGGAGGGCCGGGCACACCCTGCACCTTGCTGACTTGTCGCACAGTAGTCCTACTCTGCGCAGCTGCACCTCGGAGCATGTTCTTTCAGCTGCACAGGTGTCTTTCCCTTTCAGCCTTTATGAAACGCCTGCTGTGCACACTCCATATATTTGCACAGAGGCACAGGTGGGACGGGAAGAGTGGGGAAAGCAGACACAACCTGCTGGCTTCCTGCTGTGTTGCTTCCTGTCTGGGACTTTCCATTCTTCCTCTGTGAGTTGAAAAACAGCCGCCCTTGCCCGAGAGGGTGGGTGAGCGAAGCCCTGGGTACTAGGTCTGGAGGCTCAGTGGGTGCTGGGTCCTGGATCCTGCGATGGGGCTGCCTGTTCCAGAAAGCCCCCTCCCTGCTCCCACCTCAAAGGCAAGAAAGGGAATCTATTTTTTAAAAAAGTCAAACTTTCAAAGTTACAAGACGAATACAGTGAACTCCCACTTACCCCTCACCTAGATTCACCAATTGTAACATTTGCCTTATTTACTCTAGCTCTAATCTCTATACTTATTATCATAATTATTGCTGATTCAGGTAGGAGTAAGCTGCAGCCATCACAGTCCTTTCCCCCTAAATATCCCAGCGGGAATTAACTAAGAATAAGAACATTATCATACGTAACCAGAGAGTGAGTTCTACCTTTAGAAACTTTCTTCTTTTTTTTTTTTTTGAGACAGAGTCTTGCTCTTGTCACCCAGGCTGGAGTGCAGTGGCGTTATCTCGGCTCACTGCAACCTCTGTCTCCTGGGTTCAAGTGATTCTTCTGCCTCAGCCTCCTGAGTAGCTGGGACTACAGGCGCCCACGACCATGCCCAGCTAATTTTTGTATTTTTAGTAGAGACGGGGTTTCACCATGTTGGCCAGGTTTGTCTTGAACTGCTGATCTCAGGTGATCCGCCAGCCTCAGCCTCCCAAAGTGCTGGGATTACAGGCGTGAGCCACCACTCCTGGCCTAGAAACTTTCACATTGATGGAATCATGTATTTGTTTCCCAGACTTGCTATAACAAAGTACCACAGACTGGGTAGCTTAAACAACGGAGATTTATTTTCTCACAGTTCTAGAGGCTGGAAGTCTCAGATCAAGGTGACTAAAGGTTTGGTTCTTCTGAAGGCCCTTTCCTTGGCCTGCAGATGGCCATCTTCTCGCTGTGTCCTGGCTTGGTGTTTCCTCTGTGTGAGTCCAGATTTTCTCATCTCATAAAGATACCAGTAAGATTAGATTAGGGCCTGCCCAAAAGATCTTATTTTAACTTAATTACCTCTTTAGAGACATTATCTTCAAATATGATTACATTCTGAGGTCCTGGTGGTTAGAACTTCAGCATATGAATGGCGGAGAGAGAACAATTCAGGCCATAACAAATACTATGATCTGATAGGCAGTCCACACTCAGGCATGCTGGTTGTCCTGGATATGTTCTTTGTGGCATCCTCCAACCTTGAACCACGATCCAGCTTTGTCATGTCTCCTCAGTGTCTTGCCTGGAACAGTTTCTCAGCCTTGGTGGAGCAAAGGAATCTTCAACTTGCAGGGAAGCAAAGGTGCTCAGCAGGAATGAGGGTTCAGAAGCACAGGCTGCCCCAGGACAGGTTTGCTCTAGTCCATGAAGTTGCCTTTCCTGGCTTTTTCTTTGATGTTAAAAGCACCAGGAGGTGAACTTAGATCTCAAGAAGCGCACCAAGAATCCGTGCATGAGTGCCCTGTCGTGTGTCTGACTCCATCACCGTGGTGCCTGTTTGTTGCTGGGCTGGCTGGCCTGCAGAGCCCTGAGTGGTCTCATAGAGGGTGCCCTTCTGAGTGACCTTGAGCGTGTGACTTCTATTCCTACCAATTTCAGTG